TCCACCCCCACACCACACCAGCCATCCACCCCCACACCACACCGGCCATCCACCCCCACACCACACCGGCCATCCACCCCCACACCACACAGGCCATCCACCCCTACACCACACCGGCCATCCACCCCTACACCACACCGGCCATCCACCCCTACACCACACCGGCCATCCACACCACAACGGCCATCCACCCCCACACCACACCGGCCATCCACCCCACACCACACCGGCCATCCACCCCCACACCACACCAGCCATCCACCCCCACACCACACCGGCCATCCACACCACACCGGCCATCCACCCCCACACCACACCGGCCATCCACCCCCACACCACACCGGCCATCCACCCCCACACCACAACGGCCATCCACACCACACCGGCCATCCACCCCCACACCGGCCCTCCACACCACACCGGCCATCCACCCCCACACTACACAGGCCATCCACCCCCACACCACACCGGCCATCCTCCCCCACACCACACCGGCCATCCACCCCCACACCACACCGGCCATCCACACCACACCGGCCATCCACACCACACCGGCCATCCACCCCCACACCACACCGGCCATCCACCCCCACACCACACCGGCCATCCACCCCCACACCACACCGGCCATCCACCCCCACACCACACCGGCCATCCACCCCCACACCACACCGGCCATCCACCCCCACATCACACCGGCCATCCACCCCCACACCACACCGGCCATGTACCCCACACCACACCGGCCATCCACCCCCACACCACACCGGCCATCCACACCACACGGGCCATCCACCCCCACACCACACCGGCCATCCACCCCCACACCACACCGGCCATCCAAACCACACCGGCCATCCACACCACACCAGCCATCCACCCCCACACCACACCGGCCATCCACACCACACCAGCATCCACCCCCACACCACACCGGCCATCCACACCACACCGGCCATCCACACCACACCAGCCATCCACCCCCACACCACACCGGCCATCCACACCACACCACACCACACCGGCCATCCACCCCCACACCACACCGGCCATCCACACCACACCACACCGGCCATCCACCCCCACACCACACCGGCCATGTACCCCACACCACACCGGCCATCCACCCCCACACCACACCGGCCATCCACACCACACGGGCCATCCACCCCCACACCACACCGGCCATCCACCCCCACACCACACCGGCCATCCAAACCACACCGGCCATCCACACCACACCGGCCATCCACCCCCACACTACACCGGCCATCCACACCACACCGGCCATCCACACCACACCAGCCATCCACCCCCACACCACACCGGCCATCCACACCACACCAGCATCCACCCCCACACCACACCGGCCATCCACACCACACCGGCCATCCACACCACACCAGCCATCCACCCCCACACCACACCGGCCATCCACACCACACCACACCACACCGGCCATCCACCCCCACACCACACCGGCCATCCACACCACACCACACCGGCCATCCACCCCCACACCACACCGGCCATCCACACCACACCGGCCATCCACACCACACCGGTCATCCACACCACACCGGCCATCCACCCCCACACCACACCGGCCATCCACACCACACCGGCCATCCACCCCCACACCACACCGGCCATCCACCCCCTCACCACACCGGCCATCCACCCCACACCACACCGGCCATCCACCCCCACACCACACCGGCCATCCACCCCCACCCCACACCAGCCATCCACCCCACACCGGCCATCCACCCCCACACCACACCGGCCATCCACACCCACACCACACCGGCCATCCACCCCCACCCCACACCAGCCATCCACCCCCACACCGGCCATCCACCCCCCACACCACACCGGCCATCCACCCCCACACCACACCGGCCATCCACCCCCACACCACACCGGCCTACCACCCCCACACAAGTCAATCAAGTGGGCTCCGCTGTAGAAAGACCGCGGTCAATAATGGATGACGCGGTCACAACAAGTAACCCGGGGGTAAGGTGACAGTGGCCGTGCTGGGGGTGGGGGGATGGGGGTGGGAGGTCAGGCAATGGCCGAGGCTAGGTTGACTTTGACCGGGTTGTGATTGCTGGAGTGTAGGGGTTGGCTGATTTGACGACACAAGAAAACAGCTGACTGAGCAAGTCGTGGCCAGCACGTCGCGGCCAGCAGTTCTTCAATCACAGGCTGACCCCTGTCTGGCAGGATCCCAAAACCTAACGACTATCGAACGATAAAAGCCACACGCTATCAGCGTGTGCTAACAGAATTCATGCAACACAGGGAAACAGCTGGACTAGATCAAATACTACCATAAGCACCAACCACTACCACTACCACCAGCACCAACCACTACCACCAACCACTACCACCAGCACCAACCACTACCACCAGCACCAACCACTACCACCAGCACCAGCCACTACCACCAACCACTACCACAGCCACTACCACCAGCACCAGCCACTACCACCAGCACCAGCCACTACCACCAGCACCAGCCACTACCACCAGCCACTACCACCAGCCACTACCACCAGCACCAGCCACTACCACCAGCACCAGCCACTACCACCAGCCACTACCACCAGCACCAACCACTACCACAAATCACTACCACCAGCACCAACCACTACCACCAGCACCAGCCACTACCACCAGCCACTACCACCAACCACTACCACCAGCACCAGCCACTACCACCAGCACCAGCCACTACCACCAGCCACTACCATCAGCACCAGCCACTACCACCAGCCACTACCACCAGCACCAGCCACTACCACCAGCCACTACCACCAGCACCAACCACCACCACCAACCACTACCACCAGCACCAACCACTACCACCAGCCACTACCACCAGCCACTACCACCAGCACCAGCCACTACCACCAGCACCAACCACTACCACCAGCCACTACCACCAGCCACTACCACCAGCACCGGCCACTACCACCAGCACCAACCACTACCACCAGCACCAACCACTACCACCAGCACCAACCACTACCACCAGCACCAGCCACTACCACCAACCACTACCACCAGCACCAGCCACTACCACCAGCCACTACCACCAGCACCAGCCACTACCACCAGCCACTACCACCAGCACTAGCCACTACCACCAGCACCAGCCACTACCACCAGCACTAGCCACTACCACCAGCACCAACCACTACCACCAGCCACTACCACCAGCCACTACCACTACCACCAGCACCAACCACTACCACCAGCCACTACCACCAGCCACTACCACCAGCCACTGCGACCAGCCACTACCACCAGCCACTACCACTACCACCAGCACCAACCACTACCACCAGCCACTACCACCAGCCACTATCACTACCACCAACACCAACCACTACCACCAACCACTACCACCAGCCACTACCACCCGCTACTTACTCTATCACCAACATACAAGTCGATATGTTTATACAAGCGCGCATGCAAAAGCTAACAATACAGGAAGTGGAAGCCATTTTACAAAGCCTAATCAAGAACTTCCGGTTGGTTGAGCCGATAGCTTTGCTTGCCTGAAACTAAGCGACGGCTTTCTGGTGTGATGTAATGGGGGTGGGGGGAGGGCGTAATTGGGGGGTGGGGTGGGATATAATGGGGGTGGGGGTGAGTGTGATGTAATGGGGATGGGGTGAGATGTAATGGGGGTGTGATGTAATGGGGATGGGGTGGGATGTAATGGGGATGGGGTGAGATGTAATGGGGGTGTGATGTAATGGGGGTGGGGGTGTGATGTAATGGGGGTGGGGTGTGATGTAATGGGGGTGGGGGTGTGATGTAATGGGGGTGGGGTGTGATCTAATGGGGGTGGGGGTGAGTGGGATGTAATGGGGTGGGGGTGAGTGTGATGTAATGGGGGTGTGATGTAATGGGGGTGGGGGTGTGATGTAATGGGGGTGGGGTGTGATCTAATGGGGGTGGGGGTGAGTGGGATGTAATGGGGGTGGGGGTGAGTGTGATGTAATGGGGGTGTGATGTAATGGGGGTGGGTTGGGGTGTAATGGGGGTGGAGTAGGATGTAATGGGGGGTATAGAAGTGTTTGCTTGTGTAAACCGGCAGTAGGTTTTGTTTGAGGGTTCAGCTTTTGATTGAGGGGTCAGCTGTTGATTGAGGGGTCAGCTGTTGATTGAGGGGTCAGCTTTCGAATGGTTTGGGTGGCCATTGGTTTACTGCTGAAATATGAAGGCAATACGGGCAGCTGAGGTGTGTACCCAGTGTGTCCACTTATTGATTTGTCATCTGGTCAGGTCGTGTCAAGTTAGGGGGGGGGGGTGGGGGTGGATAGGATCTTTAAGACAGATAAGACAATGAAAGACAGCGGTCAAACATGCAAGACAAGTTACTACAGCCACAAAGCCGTAGACAAGTAACGTGTCGTGTGGGACTACTCATATAGGCCCAGCTGTAAGCTGAGCCCGCCTTACCTGCGCCTGCCATGTGACGACTGTAAACACGCGCTGAAGGTTAGGAATGTACTCACATAGCTCAGGGGAGCTCACACAGGGGGGTTGGGGTGTTCCAGGGGGGGGGGGAGTTCACACAGGGGGGTTGGGGGTGTTCCTGGGGGGAGCTCACTTAGGAAGTGTCGGGGGAGGCGTGAGTTTGGTGCATCCCTTGGGTGGGGACAGAGAAAACACCTTCCACGTTTCGTCCAAAAACACCTCCGTCTGTCAGTGAACCAGTACCAAAGAAAAAAATATTAAATACAAGGCCCCTGCTCGACCCCTGACCCGTACTCGACCCTTGACCCGTAATCGACCCTTGACCCGTACTCGACCCAGAAAAAAACCGCTGACCAATCATGAGAGCCACTCCCTACCCTGTGACCAGTCAACAGTTTCTATCAGATGACCAGCAACACCTGGACTAGATGTCATGTTACCCGCTATAGCAATCAGACAAGCGTCAGACGGCAGAACTAAATCATATTTCTTTATCCTAGGTGGCGACCAGCGAACAGAAACAACTGGGATGACAACTGACAAGACAGGCTCAAGTCGGGCGTGTTGAGGTCATCGTCTGGCGTCACGTGACTGGTTCTTTCAATCAAAGATTGGATACATTTGACTGGCCATACAGCTTGTGCTGGACGGTGGTCAGTAGAGGACCATGAACAGCTCGGCGCTGGTGGACGAGTCCAGCAGCAACGCCACCTGTGACGGCATCGACTGCTACCCGGACATCGTCTTTGAGATGGCCACGGTGTTGACCGTCGTGCTGGCCGTGTTCGGGGCGTTCGGCAACATCCTGACCGTGCTAGCTATCCTGACCAGTCGGCTCAGGAACAACATCAACAGTATCCTCATCTGCAACCTCAGCGTGTCGGACCTGGCCTACTGCTCGGTGGTGCTGCCCCTACAGGCCCTGACTTTCTACAGCAAGTCCTGGCCACTCTCGCCCATCCTGTGTCAACTGCATGCGGCCCTCAGGATCTGGATGATTGGCGTCAACATGATGCTGCTCAGTACCATCGCTCTCTACAGGTGAGTGACGTCATCATCTAGTACCATAGCTCATCATCCTAACTCCCATAAATCTATACAGGTGAGTGACGTCATCATCTAGTACCATAGCTCATCATCCTAACTCCCATAAATCTATACAGGTGAGTCACGTCATCATCTAGTACCATAGCTCATCCTCCCAACTCCCATAAATCTATACAGGTGAGTGACGTCATCATCTAGTACCATAGCTCATCCTCCTAACTCCCATAAATCTATACAGTTGAGTCACGTCATCTAGTACCATAGCTCATCCTCCCAACTCCCATAAATCTATACAGGTGAGTGACGTCATCATCTAGTACCATAGCTCATCCTCCCAACTCCCATAAATCTATACAGGTGAGTGACGTCATCATCTAGTACCATAGCTCATCATCCTAACTCCCATAAATCTATACAGTTGAGTCACGTCATCTAGTACCATAGCTCATCATCCCAACTCCCATAAATCTATACAGGTGAGTGACGTCATCATCTAGTACCATAGCTCATCCTCCTAACTCCCATAAATCTATACAGGTGAGTGACGTCATCATCTAGTACCATAGCTCATTCTCCCAACTCCCATAAATCTATACAGGTGAGTGACGTCATCATCTAGTACCATAGCTCAGCATCCTAACTCCCATAAATCTATACAGGTGAGTGACGTCATCATCTAGTACCATAGCTCATCCTCCCAACTCCCATAAATCTATACAGGTGAGTGACGTCATCATCTAGTACCATAGCTCATCATCCTAACTCCCATAAATCTATGCAGTTGAGTCACGTCATCATCTAGTACCATAGCTCATCCTCCCAACTCCCATAAATCTATACAGTTGAGTCACGTCATCTAGTACCATAGCTCATCATCCTAACTCCCATAAATCTATACAGGTGAGTGACGTCATCATCTAGTACCATAGCTCATCCTCCCAACTCCCATAAATCTATACAGTTGAGTCACGTCATCTAGTACCATAGCTCATCATCCTAACTCCCATAAATCTATACAGGTGAGTGACGTCATCATCTAGTACCATAGCTCATCATCCCAACTCCCATAAATCTATACAGGTGAGTGACGTCATCATCTAGTACCATAGCTCATCATCCTAACTCCCATAAATCTATACAGTTGAGTCACGTCATCTAGTACCATAGCTCATCATCCTAACTCCCATAAATCTATACAGGTGAGTGACGTCATCATCTAGTACCATAGCTCATCCTCCCAACTCCCATAAATCTATACAGTTGAGTCACGTCATCTAGTACCATAGCTCATCATCCTAACTCCCATAAATCTATACAGGTGAGTGACGTCATCATCTAGTACCATAGCTCATCCTCCTAACTCCCATAAATCTATACAGGTGAGTGACGTCATCATCTAGTACCATAGCTCATCCTCCCAACTCCCATAAATCTATACAGGTGAGTGACGTCATCATCTAGTACCATAGCTCATCATCCTAACTCCCATAAATCTATACAGTTGAGTCACGTCATCTAGTACCATAGCTCATCATCCTAACTCCCATAAATCTATACAGGTGAGTGACGTCATCATCTAGTACCATAGCTCATCCTCCCAACTCCCATAAATCTATACAGGTGAGTGACGTCATCATCTAGTACCATAGCTCATCATCCTAACTCCCATAAATCTATACAGGTGAGTGACGTCATCATCTAGTACCATAGCTCATCCTCCTAACTCCCATAAATCTATACAGGTGAGTGACGTCATCATCTAGTACCATAGCTCATCATCCTAACTCCCATAAATCTATACAGGTGAGTGACGTCATCATCTAGTACCATAGCTCATCCTCCTAACTCCCATAAATCTATACAGGTGAGTGACGTCATCATCTAGTACCATAGCTCATCATCCTAACTCCCATAAATCTATACAGGTGAGTGACGTCATCATCTAGTACCATAGCTCATCATCCTAACTCCCATAAATCTATACAGGTGAGTGACGTCATCATCTAGTACCATAGCTCATCCTCCCAACTCCCATAAATCTATACAGGTGAGTCACATCATCTAGTACCATAGCTCATCATCCTAACTCCCATAAATCTATACAGGTGAGTCACATCATCTAGTACCATAGCTCATCATCCTAACTCCCATAAATCTATACAGTTGAGTCACGTCATCTAGTACCATAGCTCATCATCCTAACTCCCATAAATCTATACAGGTGAGTGACGTCATCATCTAGTACCATAGCTCACCCTCCCAACTCCCATAAATCTATACAGGTGAGTGACGTCATCATCTAGTACCATAGCTCATCCTCCCAACTCCCATAAATCTATACAGTTGAGTCACGTCATCTAGTACCATAGCTCATCATCCTTACTCCCATAAATCTATACAGGTGAGTGACGTCATCATCTAGTACCATAGCTCATCATCCTAACTCCCATAAATCTATACAGGTGAGTGACGTCATCATCTAGTACCATAGCTCATCCTCCCAACTCCCATAAATCTATACAGGTGAGTCACATCATCTAGTACCATAGCTCATCCTCCCAACTCCCATAAATCTATACAGGTGAGTCACATCATCTAGTACCATAGCTCATCATCCTAACTCCCATAAATCTATACAGGTGAGTCACATCATCTAGTACCATAGCTCATCATCCTAACTCCCATAAATCTATACAGGTGAGTGACGTCATCATCTAGTACCATAGCTCATCATCCTAACTCCCATAAATCTATACAGGTGAGTGACGTCATCATCTAGTACCATAGCTCATCCTCCCAACTCCCATAAATCTATACAGGTGAGTGACGTCATCATCTAGTACCATAGCTCATCATCCTAACTCCCATAAATCTATACAGGTGAGTCACATCATCTAGTACCATAGCTCATCATCCTAACTCCCATAAATCTATACAGTTGAGTCACGTCATCTAGTACCATAGCTCATCATCCTAACTCCCATAAATCTATACAGGTGAGTGACGTCATCATCTAGTACCATAGCTCATCATCCTTACTCCCATAAATCTATACAGGTGAGTGACGTCATCATCTAGTACCATAGCTCATCCTCCTAACTCCCATAAATCTATACAGGTGAGTGACGTCATCATCTAGTACCATAGCTCATCATCCTAACTCCCATAAATCTATACAGGTGAGTGACGTCATCATCTAGTACCATAGCTCATCCTCCCAACTCCCATAAATCTATACAGGTGAGTGACGTCATCATCTAGTACCATAGCTCATCCTCCCAACTCCCATAAATCTATACAGGTGAGTGACGTCATCATCTAGTACCATAGCTCATCATCCTAACTCCCATAAATCTATACAGGTGAGTCACGTCATCATCTAGTACCATAGCTCATCATCCTTACTCCCATAAATCTATACAGGTGAGTGACGTCATCATCTAGTACCATAGCTCATCCTCCCAACTCCCATAAATCTATACAGTTGAGTCACGTCATCTAGTACCATAGCTCATCATCCTAACTCCCATAAATCTATACAGGTGAGTGACGTCATCATCTAGTACCATAGCTCATCATCCTTACTCCCATAAATCTATACAGGTGAGTGACGTCATCATCTAGTACCATAGCTCACCCTCCCAACTCCCATAAATCTATACAGGTGAGTCACGTCATCATCTAGTACCATAGCTCATCATCCTTACTCCCATAAATCTATACAGGTGAGTGACGTCATCATCTAGTACCATAGCTCATCCTCCCAACTCCCATAAATCTATACAGTTGAGTCACGTCATCTAGTACCATAGCTCATCATCCTAACTCCCATAAATCTATACAGGTGAGTGACGTCATCATCTAGTACCATAGCTCATCCTCCCAACTCCCATAAATCTATACAGTTGAGTCACGTCATCTAGTACCATAGCTCATCATCCCAACTCCCATAAATCTATACAGGTGAGTGACGTCATCATCTAGTACCATAGCTCATCATCCTAACTCCCATAAATCTATACAGTTGAGTCACATCATCAAGTACCATAGCTCATCCTCCCAACTCCCATAAATCTATACAGGTGAGTGACGTCATCATCTAGTACCATAGCTCATCATCCTAACTCCCATAAATCTATACAGTTGAGTCACGTCATCTAGTACCATAGCTCATCATCCCAACTCCCATAAATCTATACAGGTGAGTGACGTCATCATCTAGTACCATAGCTCATCCTCCTAACTCCCATAAATCTATACAGGTGAGTGACGTCATCATCTAGTACCATAGCTCATCCTCCCAACTCCCATAAATCTATACAGTTGAGTCACGTCATCTAGTACCATAGCTCATCCTCCCAACTCCCATAAATCTATACAGGTGAGTGACGTCATCATCTAGTACCATAGCTCATCCTCCCAACTCCCATAAATCTATACAGTTGAGTCACGTCATCTAGTACCATAGCTCATCCTCCCAACTCCCATAAATCTATACAGGTGAGTGACGTCATCATCTAGTACCATAGCTCATCCTCCCAACTCCCATAAATCTATACAGTTGAGTCACGTCATCATCTAGTACCATAGCTCATCATCCTTACTCCCATAAATCTATACAGTTGAGTCACGTCATCATCTAGTACCATAGCTCATCCTCCTAACTCCCATAAATCTATACAGGTGAGTGACGTCACTACTTCCTGTAACATCGTCTCTGTAGGTGATTCCATGCATGCTCTACACTTTCTACACGTATTCATGTCTCTGTCCCCATGACAACCAACATGTCTCACCATGTCCCCATGACAACCAACTCTTGTGACTCCACCCCCAGCTACACGTATTCATGTCTCACCATGTCCCCATGACAACCAACTCTTGTGACTCCACCCCCAGCTACACGTATTCATGTCTCACCATGTCCCCATGACAACCAACTCTTGTGACTCCACCCCCAGCTACACGTATTCATGTCTCACCATGTCCCCATGACAACCAACTCTTGTGACTCCACCCCCAGGTTCCTGCACGTGGTCCACCCACAGAGCCACACCCGCTACACCCAGACCTCGTGGTTTGTCGGCGCCTGCAGCCTGTGCTGGGCCCTGCCCTTCATCTTCGTGTTGACGCCCCTGGTGGACTGGTGGGGCTCCTTCTGCTTCCAGGAGCGTATCCTCCAGTGCACGTTTAGCGCCTCCAGCAGTAAGTCGCACAAGATCGCCACCATCACGGCCGGCTACGTCGTGCCCTGCGTCTTCATCTGTGTCTGCTACGCCCGCATCGGCTGGGTCGTGTGCACGACACGGCGACGCGCCTCCCGGGGCAGTCAGTACCGCAAGCAGCGCGCCAAGCGGGAGTCGTTCCGCCTGACCGGCATGATGATCCTCATCTTCGTCGGCTTCCTGCTGGGGACCACGCCCTTCTTCGCCATCAACACCATCGACAACAAGCTGCGGTACCCGATGCCGCACATCTGGTCGCCCTTCCTGGCCTGGGTCATGTACAGCCTCAACCCCCTCATCTACACCATCATGGACGCCAACTTCCAGCGCGCCTACCACCGCCTCCTGCTCTGCTTGATCTTCAAGCCCGACAACGTGGCCGAGACCAGTGTTGTAGACAGGCAAAGCACGTTACTAGCCGGGAAAAATGAAAACGCCAATCAGTAAACCTGCTAGAAGGGCAATAGACCTACTATAAGGGCAATAGACCTACTATAAGGGCAATCAGTAGACCTACTAGAAGGGCAATCAGTAAACCTGCATAGACCTACCAAAAGGACAATCCATAGACCTACTAGAAGGGCAATCAGTAGACCTACTAGAAGGGCAATCAATAGACCTGCTAGAAGGCCAATCAGTAAACCTACTAGAAGGGCAATCAATAGACCTACTAGCAGGATATGGACAATTAGTAGACCTACTAGAAGGGCTATCAGTAGACCTGCTAGAAGGGCAATCAGTAGACCTGCTAGAAGGCCAATCAGTAGACCTGCTAGAAGGGCAATCAGTAGACCTGCTAGAAGGGCAATCAGTAAACCTACTAGAAGGACAATCAATAGACCTACTAGAAGGGCAATCAGTAAACCTACTAGAAGGGCAATCAATAGACCTACTAGCAGGATATGGACAATTAGTAGACCTACTAGAAGGGCAATAGACCTACTAGAAGGGCTATCAGTAGACCTGCTAGAAGGGCAATCAGCAGACCTGCTAGAAGGGCAATCAGTAGACCTGCTAGAAGGGCAATCCATAGACCTACTAGCAGGATATGGACAATTAGTAGACCTACCAAAAGGACAATCAACATACCTACTAGAAGGGCAATAAACCTACTAGAAGGATAATCAATAGACCTACTAGAAGGATAATCAATAGACCTACTACTACGAGCCGTTAAAATCGCCCACCATTAGGACGTGCCGCTAAAGGGAGAAAGGGCTCAAGTTGACGGCATCATTAGGAGGTGGGAACCTTCGCATTTCGTTAGCCGCTACCATTGATGTGTAGTTTGTAGGGTAGACCATCATTTAACGCAGACAAATGGACAATGCTGGACATTAGAAGACAAATGGACAGACGGCTGACATGAACAGACTAGGCTGAGTGCTGGACTACTGAAGTCATCAAGTTTTGTGTTTAGTAAACATTTGTATCGGACACAGCGGGTTTGTGATGTGTAGACATTTATCGTCAGTCAACTCAATATCTGCGCTTTTAGATTTGGTTTTGAGCTGATCAACTTCATCTCTCGGTCGATATTAACCTTCAGTTATTGTGCTACATGATTACTTGACGTAGTTCTCCAAATAAACAAGTGAAACGAAATTTGAAACTAGCGACACTGTGCTCTCCTCTTCCTATGGGCGTTACGATGTGCTTTAACTGTAGGGAACCTCACTGGTGTAGAGCGGCGCATTACTTTTATTTTATAAACCATTGGACTGGCAGGGTATGAATGACAGTTGGGGGCTAGACTGTGATATGAGCATTTGAGGGGCAGACTGTGATATGAACATTTGAGGGGCAGACTGTGATATATCTATAAAGTTGCTAATCTATTTGATTGATGGGGCGCATTAGTCCATACATTGGGGATCCTGATTGAAAATATACGACGGTGTGTTGTACCGTTGAAGCTTTGTATCTATTAAGTTAAGTCATATTTGTATTGTTGCATCTTTTAGCCTTAAACCTGTGTTTCAAGATTTGTACATTTCTGTATATAAACATCATGATGTGTATAGCTATGATGTGTATAGCTATGATGTTCTCGCTTTATCAATAAACTGATACAAACAATGATGTAATTGTGTTAACAATCAGGAAATGATTTTGAGTTAGTTCTATTGAATGATTGTGATAAAATCCAAGAATGATTGAGAAATGATCCATCAAATGATTGTGATTGTATCAATGGAACGATTATGATCCATCTCAAAATTCAGCTGCTAGACACGAGTGATGCCAGGGTTTAACACAACAATTAGATGAGATTTGTATTCAAACTAAAACATTTTGAACCCACATTTTGTGGCCACGGAATTTAAAAATCAAACAACAGAGCTTGAATTAAAACTTTCGAAATCATCTCATACCTGTAGTAGGGGTGTGGCCCCGGATATCTGGGGTGTGGGCCGGGATATCTGGGGTGTGGGCCGGGATATCTGGGTTGTGGCCCGGGATATCTGGGGTGTGGCCCGGGATATCTGGGGTGTGGCCCGGGATATCTGGGGTGTGGGCCGGGATATCTGGGATGTGGCCCGGGATATCTGGGGTGTGGCCCGGGATATCTGGGATGTGGGCCGGGATATCTGGGATATGGCCCGGGATATCTGGGATGTGGCCCGGGATATCTGGGATGTGGGCCGGGATATCTGGGGTGTGGCCCGGGATATCTGGGATGTGGCCCGGGATATCTGGGATGTGGCCCGGGATATCTGGGATGTGGGCCGGGATATCTGGGGTGTGGGCCGGGATATCTGGGATGTGGCCCGGGATATCTGGGATGTGGGCCGGGATATCTGGGATGTGGGCCGGGATATCTGGGATGTGGCCCGAAATATCTGGGGTGTGGGCCGGGATATCTGGGGTGTGGGCCGGGATATCTGGGGTGTGGGCCGGGATATCTGGGGTGTGGCCCGGGATATCTGGGGTGTGGGCCGGGATATCTGGGGTGTGGGCCGGGATATCTGGGATGTGGCCCGGGATATCTGGGATGTGGGCCGGGATATCTGGGGTGTGGGCCGGGATATCTGGGGTGTGGGCCGGGATATCTGGGGTGTGGGCCGGGATATCTGGGGTGTGGGCCGGGATATCTGGGGTGTGGCCCGGGATATCTGGGGTGTGGGCCGGGATATCTGGGGTGTGGCCCGGAATATCTGGGGTGTGGGCCGGGATATCTGGGGTGTGGCCCGGGATATCTGGGGTGTGGGCCGGAATATCTGGGGTGTGGCCCGGGATATCTGGGGTGTGGGCCGGGATATCTGGGGTGTGGCCCGGGATATCTGGGATGTGGGCCGGGATATCAGAGTTGTGGACCTGGCTAACAGGGTTTTGGCCAGGGCAGTGATGGGCATGTGGTGTTGACTGTGCTACGAGGTGTAGGTGGAACATACATATATATATATATATATATATATATATATATATATATATATATATATATATATATATATATATATATATATATATATATATATATATATATATATATATATATATATATATATATATATATGTGTGTATGTGTGTAAACTTACCTTGGACTGGCCGGGGTTTTCTTTTCCTGACGGCAGACGACCTCTGGCCCAGGCGGGATTTTCACTGAAACAAAAAAAAAGTTTTGAAAAAGTTGTGAAGTTGCTAGACAATTCTCTTGGACGCAAAAGTTTGATTAGAACAGCCAATCGGCCACTGCCTACATGTACACACAGGGACAGCTTGGGTATGTTGAACAGAAATCAAACTTAACTAGCGTCAAGTTGGATGTAAAGAGTGTTCAGTTGGAAAGTGACGTTTGAATGTAAAGAGTGTTCATTTGAAAGGTGAAGTGTGAATGTAAAAAGTGTTCAGTTGGAAGGTCAAGTGTGAATGTAAGAGTGTTCATTTGGAAAGTGAAGTTTGAATGTAAAGAGTCTTCAGTTGGAAAGTGAAGTGTGAATGTAAAGAGTGTTCAGTTGGAAGGTGAAGTGAATGTAAAGAGTGTTCATTTGGAAAGGTGAAGTGTGAATGTAAGAGTGTTCATTTGGAAAGGTGAAGTGTGAATGTAAAGAGTGTTAGATTGGAAGGTGAAGTGTGAATGTAAAGAGTGTTCAGTTGGAAGGTGAAGTGTGAATGTAAAGAGTGTTCAGTTGGAAGGTGAAGTTTGAATGTAAAGAGTCTTCAGTTGGAAGGTGAAGTGTGAATGTAAAGAGTGTTCAGTTGGAAGGTGAAGTTTGAATGTAAAGAGTGTTCAGTTGGAAGGTGAAGTTTGAATGTAAAGAGTGTTAATTTGGAAGGTGAAGTTTGAATGTATAGAGTGTTCAGTTGGAAGGTGAAGTGTGAATGTAAAGAGTGTTCAGTTGGAAGGTGAAGTGTGAATGAAGAAACGAACAGATTAGTAAAATCTTGGACAGCTCCTGGCCAACTACGCAAATGTCAGGTTGATTAAGGCGGTTTTAAACATCGATTCGTCTCGGCTATAATATCTTGTTACAGAAATACCAAACAGTAAAGTACTGTCTCCCTTTATCAATCGAGGGGGGGGGGGGGTCCAGAGATCGTATAGCCATGTGAAATGTTAACAGCATGCAATAGACAGCTAATATTGACAGCAGGCAATAGACAGCCAATGTTAACAACATTCAATACACAGCTAATGTTAACAACATTCAATACACAGCCAATGTTAACAACATTCAATACACAGCTAATGTTAACAGCAGGCAATAGACAGCCAATGTTAACAACATTCAATACACAGCTAATGTTAACAACATTCAATACACAGCCAATGTTAACAACATTCAATACACAGCTAATGTTAACAGCAGGCAATAGACAGCCAATGTTAACAACATTCAATACACAGCTAATGTTAACAACATTCAATACACAGCCAATGTTAACAACATTCAATACACAGCTAATGTTAACAGCAGGCAATAGACAGCCAATGTTAACAACATTCAATACACAGCCAATGTTAACAACAATCAATACACAGCCAATGTTAACAACAATCAATACACAGCCAATGTTAACAACATTCAATACACAGCTAATGTGAACAGCAGGCAATATACAGCCAATGTTACCAACATTCAATACACAGCTAATGTGAACAGCAGGCAATATACAGCCAATGTGAACAGCAGGCAATAGACAGTAGGAGGCGCTAGGCATGGATAATAGAAAATTAACAGCAAATAATTTAATGCTACCTAACAGCAACCACAAGTAAACACACAACAACAATGATCTGGAACTGTGTGGGGTGTTACAGACACCCGCACTAATGAAGGTGTCGGATCTAGAACGGTGTGGGGTGTTACAGACACCCGCACTAATGAAGGTGTCGGATCTAGAACTGTGTGGGGTGTGACAAAAAAATTCAGACAAAAAGGTGTCAGAAAACAAGAGGAAAATTAAAACAACAGATAAAAAAGTTCATGTGAAAATCTTTTATCATTATTGATCATGTTATCTCGTGTTAAGAAAACTAATTAAGATCAATCAATAAGGTTCTTTCATCAGACGTAGAGACCCGCTGAAATGAACAGAGATTGTCCACTACTTTTTGGCCATCAGGAGCAAGAACATATGTCCAGTAATGTGTCACGTTTGGTGTAATGGTAAGGTTTGTGTCACGTTTGGTGTAATGGTAAGGTTTGTGTCACGTTTGGTGTAATGGTAAGGTTTGTGTCACGTTTGGTGTAACGGTAGGGTTGTGTCACGTTTGGTGTAATGGTAGGGCTGTGTCACGTTTGGTCTAATGGTAGGATTGTGTCACGTTTTGTGTAATGGTAGGGTTGTGTCACGTTTGGTGTAATGGTAGGGCTGTGTCACGTTTGGTGTAATGGTAGGGCTGTGTCACGTTTGGTCTAATGGTAGGATTGTGTCACGTTTTGTGTAATGGTAGGGTTGTGTCACGTTTGGTGTAATGGTAGGGTTGTGTCACGTTTGGTGTAATGGTAGCGTTGTGTCACGTTTGGTGTAATGGTAGGGTTTGTGTCACGTTTGGTGTAATGGTAGGGTTGTGATGGTGTCACGTTTGGTGTAATGGTAGGGTTGTGTCACGTTTGGTGTAATGGTAGGGTTGTTTCACGTTTGGTGTAATGGTAGGGTTTGTGTCACGTTTGGTGTAATGGTAGGGTTTGTGTCACGTTTGGTGTAATGGTAGGGTTGTTTCACGTTTGGTGTAATGGTAGGGTTGTGTCACGTTTGGTGTAATGGTAGGGTTTGTGTCACGTTTGGTGTAATGGTAGGGTTGTGTCACGTTTGATGTAATGGTAGGGTTGTGTCACGTTTTGTGTAATGGTAGGGTTTGTGTCACGTTTTGTGTAATGGTAGGGTTGTGTCACGCTTGGTGTAATGGTAGATTTGTGTCACGTATTGTGTAATGGTAGGTTTTGTGTCACGTTTGGTGTAATAGTAGAGTTGTGTCACCTTTGGTGTAATGGTAGGGTTTGTGTCACGTTTGGTGTAATGGTAGGGTTCGTGTCACGTTTGGTGTAATGGTAGGGTTTGTGTCACGTTTGGTGTAATGGTAGGGTTGTGTCACGCTTGGTGTAATGGTACATTTGTGTCACGTTTTGTGTAATGGTAGGTTTTGTGTCACGTTTGGTGTAATAGTAGATTTGTGCCACGTTTTGTGTAATGGTAGGGTTTGTGTCACGTTTGGTGTAATGGTAGGGTTGTGTCACGTTTGGTGTAATGGTAGGGTTTGTGTCACGTTTTGTGTAATGGTAGGGTTTGTGTCACGTTTGGTGTAATGATAGGGTTTGTGTCACGTTTGGTGTAATGGTAGGGTTGTTTCACGTTTGGTGTAATGGTAGGGTTGTGTCACGTTTGGTGTAATGGTAGGGTTTGTGTCACGTTTGGTGTAATGGTAGGGTTTGTGTCACGTTTTGTGTAATGGTAGGGTTGTGTCACGTTTTGTGTAATGGTAGGGTTTGTGTCACGTTTTGTGTAATGGTAGGGTTGTGTCACGCTTGGTGTAAGGGTAGATTTGTGTCACGTTTTGTGTAATGGTAGGTTTTGTGTCACGTTTGGTGTAATAGTAGATTTGTGCCACGTTTTGTGTAATGGTAGGGGTTGTGTCACGTTTGGTGTAATGGTAGGGTTTGTGTCACGTTTTGTGTAATGGTAGGGTTTGTGTCACGTTTGGTGTAATGATAGGGTTTGTGTCACGTTTGGTGTAATGGTAGGGTTTGTGTCACGTTTGGTGTAATGGTAGGGTTTGTGTCACGTTTTGTGTAATGGTAGGGTTTGTGTCACGTTTGGTGTAATGATAGGGTTTGTTGCATGAATGTGCCTTTAGGAGCTGGGTAAACCAGCAATAACTAAATGTGAGTAGACAACTGATATCAAGGTGTGCAGTAACATGTGCACGTGAGTTCAAGGTAGGCAGGTACGTGCTGAAAAGGCTTACTACAAAGGGTAGCGGGTCTATTTATAGATGTCTTTTAAGGAAAATTGGAGTGAGAAGAATTCTAATTGTCAACAGTTGGTCATTTAGCGGCTGCCAGGGGGGGGGGGGGGGGGTTAATAAAAAAAGTTGACTGTAAAGCGTGTCATATCGTCATTACGAATTGCGATGGTCAAGTAAACTTGGTCTCCCCGATCAGTAGAAATACAGCAACCTGGAGTCTAGGCAAATATTTCTTTCAATACCAGGTCCTAAAAGGATTGTTTAAAGTTAGTCAATAATGTGAGCATTCACTTGAGACCTTTTCAATCATTTCATTTCTAACTGCTTTTGCCTCTGGTCTTTCGGCCTTGTCCGGTTACATTGTGTATTGTTGACATTTTGTTGTTGACATTGTGTATTGTTGACATTTTGTTGTTGACACTGTGTATTGTTGACATTTTGTTGTTGACATTGGGTATTGTTGACATTTTGTTGTTGACATTGTGTATTGTTGACATTTTGTTGTTGACATTGTGTATTGTTGACATTGTGTATTGTTAAAATTTTGCTACACGTCAACTACCTCTAGCTATCAGTTCCAGCATTAAAAATACCAGGATTATGAACTGAGTCGCGTGGAACTTTCATACAATCATATTAATATCTTGATGACTGATACTAATTTGTTTTACGTGTTATATCTTTAAAAAAAATATATTTATATTGATATGTACTTTTAAAATACTTAATAAATAAAAATTACATAGCAAATTCTCTGAAAGTAAAAAGTTTGCGAATTTAATGCTTTTGCCTTTTTTGACTGCAAGTTTTTCTTACGGCTGTTTCCTGTGACTTTTTCCTGCCATTGTTATGATGTGTGTTTTATCAGGGTATTTTGGTGCGAATGAATGTTGGTGCGAGAGATATAATGAATGCATGTTTGATGACGCGGATGAAAGAGAGTGAAGTTTTGCGATAGGAACGGGTTGTTATGGTACGCGTCAGCTCAATCACGATCCTCTCACAGCAGCCTTAACTATCATGTGTACATGTGTCATCTAGTCCATACAGGTCTTTGTCACTATTCTCTCACAGCAGCCCTAAATATCATGTAGAAATGTGTCATCTAGTCCATACAGGTCTTTAAGCTAAAATGTTCTCTTTGCGCAAATTTCTGTTTGCGCTTTTTCCCTGTTGCGCATTTTTCTGTTTGCGCTTTTTTCTGTTTTGTTCTTTTTTTCCGTTTCTTTCTGGGAACCCCCGACATGATGGTCCAACACAAGTTGGGTGGGTGGACGAACTGTGTGCCAAGACAAGTTGGGTGGGTGGACGAACTGTGTGCCAAGACAAGTTGGGTGGGTGGACGAACTGTGTGCCAAGACAAGTTGGGTGGGTGGACGAACTGTGTGCACCTCTAATTGCTAATTATTCCAGTTCATTTCATCAGTTCACGGTCAATAATTGATGCGCCTACGGCCACAGTGAAAAACCCACAAGTGCGTGTTTTCTCGTTGGAAGTTTGGAGACGTTCAAACAGTCAACATGTGCATGTTCTCGAGTGGTACCATCCTGTCTCAAGATGGTTTGAGACAAGTCATCGTGTCTCAAGATGGTTTGAGACAAGTCATCGTGTCTCAAGATGTTTTTAAAAAAAATGTTTTACAGATCTGTTTCCCAGAGGCAGATACCAAGGTGTTGGTCTAGGCAAGGGCCATCTACCGGCTGGTGGCCAGGGCCATCTACCTGCTGGTGGCCAGTGCCATCTACCTGCCGATGGCCAGGGCCATCTACCTGCCGATGGCCAGGGCCATCTACCGGCTGGTGGCCGGGGCCATCTACCTGGCGGTGGCCAGGGCCATCTACCTGACGGTGGCCAGGGCCATCTACCTGCCGATGGCCAGGGCCATCTACCTGCTGGTGGCCGGGGCCATCTACCTGGCGGTGGCCAGGGCCATCTACCGGCTGGTGGCCAGGGCCATCTACCTGGCGGTGGCCAGGGCCATCTACCTGACGGTGGCCAGGGCCATCTACCTGCCGATGGCCAGGGCCATCTACCTGCTGGTGGCCGGGGCCATCTACCTGGCGGTGGCCAGGGCCATCTACCTGACGGTGGCCAGGGCCATCTACCGGCTGGTGGCCAGGGCCATGTACCTGACGGTGGCCAGGGCCATGTACCTGACGGTGGCCGGGGCCATCTACCTGCCGATGGCCAGGGCCATCTACCTGCTGGTGGCCGGGGCCATCTACCTGGCGGTGGCCAGGGCCATCTACCGGCTGGTGGCCAGGGCCATCTACCGGCTGGTGGCCAGGGCCATCTACCGGCTGGTGGCCAGGGCCATCTACCGGCTGGTGGCCGGGGCCATCTACCTGGCGGTGGCCAGGGCCATCTACCGGCTGGTGGCCAGGGCCATCTACCGGCTGGTGGCCAGGGCCATCTACCGGCTGGTGGCCAGGGCCATCTACCGGCTGGTGGCCGGGGCCATCTACCTGGCGGTGGCCAGGGCCATCTACCGGCTGGTGGCCGGGGCCATCTACCTGGCGGTGGCCAGGGCCATCTACCTGACGGTGGCTGACTAGATGGCACATTAGGGTGGGTCGGGGTGAGGGAGGGTAGCGTACATTGTGGGGTGGGAAATGGTAGCAAGACCCGGCACCAGAATGGCTGGGGGAACCATTATCAAATCACGTGAATGTCAACACAGCCAGATAGGGCACCGAGACAAAACAAAACGTCCAGTGGTGTTAGTAGGGGAACAACATTAAGCCAATTACATCATACACATAGGCCATACGTACAGACAAAACATGTGTAAACACAAGTCAACACACGAATACACACAAACAGTGGAATACCTGTACATGATTGTTGCAGACAATAGTTTAACGAACGCTGCTACAAATACATGTTACTAGACTAGTGGAATACCTGTACATGATTGTTGCAGACAATAGTTTAACGAACGCTGCTACAAATACATGTTACTAGACTAGTGGAATACCTGTACATGATTGTTGCAGACAATAGTTTAACGAACGCTGCTACAAATACATGTTACTAGACTAGTGGAATACTTGTACATGATTGTTGCAGACAATAGTTTAACGAACGCTGCTATAAATACATGTTACTAGACTAGTGGAATACCTGTACATGATTGTTGCAGACAATAGTTTAACGAACTCTGCTACAAATACATGTTACTAGACTAGTGGAATACCTGTACATGATTGTTGCAGACAATAGTTTAACGAACGCTGCTACAAATACATGTTACTAGACTATTGGAATACCTGTACATGATTGTTGCAGACAATAGTTTAACGAACGCTGCTACAAATACATGTTACTAGACTATTGGAATACCTGTACATGATTGTTGCAGACAATAGTTTAACGAACGCTGCTACAAATACATGTTACTAGACTAGTGGAATACCTGTACATGATTGTTGCAGACAATAGTTTAACGAACGCTGCTACAAATACATGTTACTAGACTAGTGGAATACCTGTACATGATTGTTGCAGACAATAGTTTAACGAACGCTGCTACAAATACATGTTACTAGACTAGTGGAATACCTGTACATGATTGTTGCAGACAATAGTTTAACGAACGCTGCTACAAATACATGTTACTAGACTAGTGGAATACCTGTACATGATTGTTGCAGACAATAGTTTAACGAACGCTGCTACAAATACATGTTACTAGACTAGTGGAATACCTGTACATGATTGTTGCAGACAATAGTTTAACGAACGCTGCTATAAATACATGTTACTAGACTAGTGGAATACCTGTACATGATTGTTGCAGACAATAGTTTAACGAACGCTGCTATAAATACATGTTACTAGACTAGTGGAATACCTGTACATGATTGTTGCAGACAATAGTTTAACGAACGCTGCTACAAATACATGTTACTAGACTAGTGGAATACCTGTACATGATTGTTGCAGACAATAGTTTAACGAACGCTGCTACAAATACATGTTACTAGACTATTGGAATACCTGTACATGATTGTTGCAGACAATAGTTTAACGAACGCTGCTACAAATACATGTTACTAGACTCCCGTGGCAGGGGACATTCATATCTCACGGTAGCTGAACTAACTGGTCCGTTTGGACGTCATGCAAGCAGATATTTCTGTCACGTCTGAGGTGTGCGTGCCTCAAGGACTGGGATGTGGGCGCCTCAAGGACTGGGGTGTGGGCGCCTCAAGGACTGGGGTGTGGACGCCTCAAGGACTGGGGTGTGGGCGCCTCAAGGACTGGGGTGTGGGCGCCTCAAGGACTGGGGTGTGGGCGCCTCAAGGACTGGGGTGTGGGCGCCTCAAGGACTGGGGTGTGGGCGCCTCAAGGACTGGGGTGTGGGCGCCTCAAGGACTGGGGTGTGGGCGCCTCAAGGACTGGGGTGTGGGCGCCTCAAGGACTGGGGTGTGGGCGCCTCAAGGACTGGGGTGTTGGCGCCTCAAGGACTGGGGTGTGGGCGCCTCAAGGACTGGGGTGTACAGTAAAGGGTAAAACAGGCCATCTAAAGTTTATACAGGCCTATAAGGTAAAATCTTTGGTAGAGTAAAGAAAAATTCCGGAGACTGACCTTTGAACTTGAGGCAGGGCCAGTATCTCTTCTGTACCAGCAGCACATTGTTGACAATGTTAGCCGCGCTGTAGGAAGACACAAGGGTTTAGTTTAACATCTTACTAATGGACTGGTTTAACATACAAGTGTGTAGTTTAACATCTTACTAATGGACTGGTTTAACATACAACTGTTTGGTTTAACATCTTACTAATGGACTGGTTTAACATACAACTGTGTGGTTTAACATCTAACTAATAGACTGGTTTAACATACAACTGTGTGGTTTAACATCTTAGTAATGGACTGGTATAACAGACAACTGTGTGGTTTAACATCTTACTAATGGACTGGTTTAACATACAAGTGTGTGGTTTAACATCTTAGTAATGGACTGGTATAACAGACAACTGTGTGGTTTAACATCTTACTAATGGACTGGTTTAACATACAACTGTGTGGTTTAACATCTAACTAATAGACTGGTTTAACATACAACTGTGTGGTTTAACATCTTAGTAATGGACTGGTATAACAGACAACTGTGTGGTTTAACATCTTACTAATGGACTGGTTTAACATACAACTGTGTGGTTTAACATCTTAGTAATGGACTGGTTTAACATACAACTGTTTGGTTTAACATCTTAGTAATGGACTGCTTTAACATGTTCTAACTGGGGTTTTTACCAGCTGACACAGTCGCAACTGCCCAAAGGTCACATGACATGGGAAACACGGGTCACATGGCTCACCAAAGAGCATAAAAAATAACATCAACAGATGCGGTCCCACAGGGGCCGCAACCAAATAAGGTGTAAATTATCTCCCTGACTGCTAACCCATGGTATGTGTTACACATAACAAAACCATATGACAGTCAATAAAAATGTTCAGATCAATTAAAATCATCCAATACACTATTAAAATTTAGGTGTGAGATATTTTGTCTGAGATATTTTGTCTGAGATCAATTGTCCGTGGTAGCATTTGTCTTGATATATTTTGTCCTGGTATCTTTTGTCCGTGAGATCATTTGTCCTTGAGATCATTTGTCCTGAGATCATTTGTCTTGAGATCATTTGTCCTGTCACCGTTACACATCATAACGCCCGTATAATAGTACGGAATAGTTGCATAAGACTGCAAACTAATTTCAGAAAATGTTAATAAATCCATAAAAAAATTAACATGTCATCCAAAGTAGTCATATTTAATGTCATATTGCATTGTCATGGGGTCTTGGCCCACGTGCCGAATTTCAGAGAAATTGATCCGTTAGAAGTGCCCGAAATTTTGCTCTCCCGTTTCGGTCTAGACAGACATGATTAAAACAGAGGAAGCAAGTTAAATAAAAAGCCAATGAACCAATGGAAATATCCCCACATGGAGCCAAGAGGTCAGCTCACTTGGTGCGACTTATGTTTTTACTGCGGCCATCTTTAGAGTAGATTCAACTTAGGATGGCTGCAACTTGGTACCGTCACTGGACGATACACGCTATTTAAAGTAACACAATTCTCTCTCTTGGCCAGGTGTGTCAGTGACGTCATACAGGTCAGGTGTGTCAGTGACGTCATACAGGCCAGGTGTGTCAGTGACGTCTTACAGGCTAGATGTGTCAGTGACGTCATACATGCTAGATGTGTCAGTGACGTCATACCGGCCAGGTGTGTCAGTGACGTCATACAGGCCAGGTGTGTCAGTGACGTCATACAGGCCAGGTGTGTTAGATCTTAGTTATGACTTTAGACCCAAGAAAAACCAGAAGAATAAAATAAAAATCTTTTTAAAAACGGGTCTATACTGTAGACCACGCTTTCTCCTGATGGAAAATTAAAAGATATTGTACTGAAATTTATTTCTAACTGAAAGTAATTGTAAAAAATTAAAAGATATTGTACTGAAATTTATTTCTAACTGAAAGTAATTGTAAAAAATTAAAAGATATTGTACTGAAATTTATTTCTACCTGAAAGTAATTGTAAAAAATTAAAAGATATTGTACTGAAATTTATTTCTACCTGAAAGTAATTGTAAAAAATTAAAAGATATTGTACTGAAATTTATTTCTACCTGAAAGTAATTGTAAAAAATTAAAAGATATTGTACTGAAATTTATTTCTAACTGAAAGTAATTGTAAAAAATTAAAAGATATTGTACTGAAATTTATTTCTAACTGAAAGTAATTGTAATCAAAACGGCAGAATACTCTCTCTCTCTCTCTCTCTCTCTCTCTCTACAGCCTCTACAGTTCGCCCCCCCCCCCTAGTCTGAATGATGTTTTGGCGATGTACAAGGACACCGGAGAATTTCTCCCCGAGATCTAAACAATGACCTTGTGACAGTTGCCCGGATCAGGAGGTCACTAAACAAAGACCTTGAGACGAATGCCCGGATGACGAGGTAAAAGTGCGGCCATGAAACCAGGATTTGAAAGACGACTGTCAATATATGATTCCCTCGGCTAACAAATGATCAAATCAATTGATCAGGTCTTTCAGTCAGGCCGACAGGAAGTCGCATCACAAATATTCATCGACTTCATGGGATAAAAAAGCAAAGCCCGGGTAGATTAAAATTATAAGCCTCATGTTTTGGGGATTGAAGATAGTTGCAGCGTTAAGATTTCTTATTCCTGTTTCCAGTGTATTAAAATCAACAAGCGTCGGGTTGTTTCATCAAACGTTCAAAAGATCTGATGGCATTCAACTTGTGACAGGCAGGATGAAGGTTTCTAATGATATCGTGGGGGTCATGATGTCCAGTCAGTGATATAGTGTGGGTCATGATATAGTGTGGGTCATGATATAGTGTGGGTCATGATGTAGTGTGGGTCATGATATAGTGTGGGTCATGATATAGTGTGGGTCATGATATAGTGTGGGTCATGATATAGTGTGGGTCATGATATAGTGTGGGTCATGATGTAGTGTGGGTCATGATGTAGTGTGGGTCATGATATAGTGTGGGTCATGATATAGTGTGGGTCATGATATAGTGTGGGTCATGATATAGTGTGGGTCATAATATAGTGTGGGTCATGATATAGTGTGGGTCATGATATAGTGTGGGTCATGATATAGTGTGGGTCATGATATAGTGTGGGTCATGATATAGTGTGGGTCATGATATAGTGTGGGTCATGATGTTGTGTGGGTCATGATAAAGTGTGGGTCATGATATAGTGTGGGTCATGATATAGTGTGGGTCATGATGTTGTGTGGGTCAAGATATAGTGTGGGTCATGATATAGTGTGGGTCATAATATAGTGTGGGTCATGATATAGTGTGGGTCATGATATAGTGTGGGTCATGATGTTGTGTGGGTCATGATATAGTGTGGGTCATGATATAGTGTGGGTCATGATATAGTGTGGGTCATGATATAGTGTGGGTCATGATATAGTGTGGGTCATGATATAGTGTGGGTCATGATATAGTGTGGGTCATGATATAGTGTGGGTCATGATATAGTGTGGGTCATGATATAGTGTGGGTCATAATATAGTGTGGGTCATGATATAGTGTGGGTCATGATATAGTGTGGGTCATGATATAGTGTGGGTCATGATATAGTGTGGGTCATGATATAGTGTGGGTCATAATATAGTGTGGGTCATGATATAGTGTGGGTCATGATATAGTGTGGGTCATGATATAGTGTGGGTCATGATGTTGTGTGGGTCATGATGTTGTGTGGGTCATGATATAGTGTGGGTCATGATATAGTGTGGGTCATGATATAGTGTGGGTCATGATATAGTGTGGGTCATGATATAGTGTGGGTCATGATATAGTGTGGGTCATAATATAGTGTGGGTCATGATATAGTGTGGGTCATGATATAGTGTGGGTCATGATATAGTGTGGGTCATGATATAGTGTGGGTCATGATATAGTGTGGGTCATGATATAGTGTGGGTCATGATATAGTGTGGGTCATGATATAGTGTGGGTCATGATATAGTGTGGGTCATAATATAGTGTGGGTCATGATATAGTGTGGGTCATGATATAGTGTGGGTCATGATATAGTGTGGGTCATGATATAGTGTGGGTCATAATATAGTGTGGGTCATGATATAGTGTGGGTCATGATATAGTGTGGGTCATAATATAGTGTGGGTCATGATATAGTGTGGGTCATGATATAGTGTGGGTCATGATATAGTGTGGGTCATGATATAGTGTGGGTCATAATATAGTGTGGGTCATGATATAGTGTGGGTCATGATATAGTGTGGGTCATGATATAGTGTGGGTCATGATATAGTGTGGGTCATGATATAGTGTGGGTCATGATATAGTGTGGGTCATGATGTTGTGTGGGTCATGATATAGTGTGGGTCATGATATAGTATGGGACATGATATAGTGTGGGTCATGATATAATGTGGGTCATGATGTTGTGTGGGTCAAGATGTGTGGGTCAAGATGTGTGGGTCATGATATAGTGTGGGTCATGATGTCCAGTCAGTGATAGACATGATATAGTGTGGGTCATGATATAGTGTGGGTCATGATATAGTGTGGGTCATGATATAGTGTGGGTCATGATATAGTGTGGGTCATGATATAGTGTGGGTCATAATATAGTGTGGGTCATGATATAGTGTGGGTCATATTGTGTGGGTCATGATATAGTGTGGGTCATTATATAGTGTGGGTCATGATATAGTGTGGGTCATGATGTTGTGTGGGTCATGATATAGTGTGGGTCATGATATAGTGTGGGTCATGATATAGTGTGGGTCATGATATAGTGTGGGTCATGATATAGTGTGGGTCATGATATAGTGTGGGTCATGATATAGTGTGGGTCATGATATAGTGTGGGTCATGATGTTGTGTGGGTCATGATATAGTGTGGGTCATGATATAGTGTGGGTCATGATATAGTGTGGGTCATGATATAGTGTGGGTCATGATATAGTGTGGGTCATGATATAGTGTGGGTCATGATATAGTGTGGGTCATGATGTTGTGTGGGTCATGATATAGTGTGGGTCATGATATAGTGTGGGTCATGATATAGTGTGGGTCATGATATAGTGTGGGTCATGATATAGTGTGGGTCATGAT